ACCCCCCTAATATCTTCAGTTAAAATGCATTTTGGAGAAAATGTCCAATAGCAAAGTTGTATGATTTCAAGCGGGGAGTAAGATGATGACTTTGACTTTGATTTTGATCATGTCCTTCAAGGTCATTTCAAGGTCAACCTTATTTTTTTAAATGGAATCCCCTACATTTTATTGCATATTCTTATAGCTTATCTCGAGAGCTTTCCAAAACGCTAGAATAAAACATTTTTCCATTAAGTTTGAATTATAAAGGTTTGAAGTTAACAATTTTTTTACACAAAATGTAAAATATCTTGTAAAATATTATTTAGTTTCCAGTAATTATAACTTTAATACTTTTGTGCGCGGAGTAATGAGACCAATTAATTGGTTTAAAGAAAATACATTAATCGAAAAGTGTTGGATCCCCCTAATATTTTCAGTAAGAATGCATTTTGGAAAAATGTCCAATAGCAAAGTTGTACGGCTTCAAGCGGTGATGCTAGTAGGCTACGGTAGGCTACGGCGGAATACTGCCCGAAAGTGATCGCGAGAAGCTGCTCGAATGCGTGATGTCCGAAGGCCTTAACTGGCCGAACCCACACGCCACTTAACAAATTGTTAACTTGAAACCTTTATAACTCAAAAAGTACTTAATGAAAAAATGTTTTATTCTAGCGTTGGAAAGCTCTCGAGATAAGCTGTAAGAATATGCAATAAAATATAGGGGGTTCCATTTAAAAAAATAAGGTTGACCTTGAAATTACTTTGAAGGACATGGTCAAGGTCAAAGTCAAGGTCATCATCTTACTCCCCGCTTGAAACCATACAACTTTGCTATTGGACATTTTCTCCAAAATGCATTTTAACTGAAGATATTAGGGAGGTCCGATACTTTTCGATGATCCTGTATAATTATGTATGAATATATATGACCATATAGAAAATTCATATATGATCTCTTTTCCAGCGAAATATTTCCTAAGTAAAACGCTACGTATAGTTACAAATATTAAGTGAACAGTTAAGTAAAATTCAACTTACCTTCAACAATACCAACATAAGAATGCGACGTGTCAAAGGATATTGGCCCGTTAGTACCCTCGAAAGATGCATCCTCGCTGAACAGACTTGCGTCGTGAACCAAGCGTATCGTCCAGGATCTGTAAGATTATCATAATATATCGTACGAAATAGCAAGATAAGAGAGATGTTTTCTTCGTAATAATATTACGAACTTGGATTATTTAATCAATAAAAGAAGAAAAATTCGCTATGGCAGAGACTATAAGTAGGAAACGTTAAACTCCGGGTAGAAATGAAACAGGGCCTGCCACAAGTCTGTAGTGGCCCTAACCGGGCGTGCCCCAAATAGACTTGCCTATATTGGTCTTGGTCGGGCAAGCTCCTAAACAGGTTTTCCTTTATTAGCTCTAAATGTAATCAATGAAAGCAAATTATGAATGGAATTTTATGAATAAGTACAAATTAATAAATAGCCGAAAATTAGTGTAACACGCAACTCATATTTTTAACTTATCTTCTCTTATGACTTCTGTTACGTTGATTTTACGGCTATTTGTTGATTTCTGAGAGTAAAAAAAGCATTCAGACATTTTTACAAATGTACTGAATCGAAATTGCAACCCATACGGCACAAAATGTTGAAAAAACGTTGATAAAATGTTGCAATATTGAAAATAAAAGTACGGATGTTCTTTCTATATGAAATTTATGTTGATTTCTTAACATTGATATAATTGATATTGAAAATATAGCTGCAATGTTGAATATATATTGAACAAAAACTACAATATTTTGCAATGTTACAACAATATTTTAAAAGCATTGAAAATTATATTATTAATAATATTAATGAAAATTTTTTTATTATATAATAATAAAATAAAATAAATTATTATTAAATTTTATTTTATTAATACATATGTATTATTCATATTATATTACAATATACAATAATTATATGTACTTTTACTTATACTTATTGTTTGTATGTAAAATTTAAGTGTATTTAAGCAATTTTGCGCAAATCCTGAAGATTATTCTTTTATTTCATAATATTCTCTATTATACAGGGTGTCCGATTCGTACCGTACCAGAGATAATATACAGGGTGTCCCGAAACTACCGAATGTTAATGGCAGATTCTTTAGAACATTTTAAAACGAAAACTTTCATACAAAAATATCGAGGCTATAATAGTTTTCAAACGGCAAGCGATTATATTTCACCAATAACAGGGCTGAGATTTCGCGCGCTCAGGCACGTCGAAATGACAAGTGATAAAGGTGCTCCTATAAATCACTTTTTTACGATATTATGATCATTGTATAAATTTACAATAACATTGTTATAATATGTTTTGCCGCTTCTCTACGCATTATATTAGCACATTTTTTATACGAATAATAGTTGTAAGACATCTTAAATATGATTCAAGTAAAAATGACATATTTCAACTTAATTTGACAAAGTATCGATCAATTATTACCATGAAGGTGTCCACTATTCTATACGGCATGTAGCACCTTTATCACTTGTCATTTCGGCGTGCCTGAGCGCGCGAAATCTCAGCCCTGATATTGGTGAAATATAATCGCTTCCCATTTGAAAACTATTATAGCCTTGACATTTTTGTATGAAAGTTTTCGTTTTAAAATGTTCTAAAGAATCTGCCATTAAAATAACATCCGGTAGTTTTGGGACACCCTGTATAGCTGGAATAGGTCCGGATGAGTAATGGATTCGGTGCTTTGTTTTAAACAACCATGTAAACTTTTGAGATATTAACGATAAAAAAGATAAAGATAAAGATAAATATCTAATAATATTATATAAATATAAAAAGATAAAGGTAAAGATTAAAAAGATTAAAAAGATAAAGATTTGTACCGAGCGCCAGTCCAGTGCACTGAAAAAAGATTACTATTTGGTAATAATTATCCAGCTTGTATTATAGATACTAAATTTTAGTACCTATAATACAGGCTGGACAATTATTACCAAATCATCGTAATCTTTTTTTTCAGTGTGGCCAATCAGCACGCGCACTGCGGTGAGACAAACGTTATATGCACGATCGTATGAGCATGAGAAGCCAGCCGGACCAGCTTCCTAGCAACGCGTTGTTAGTTTAGCCTATCATGTCCATGCGACTGCGCGTATAACGTTCGTCTCACCGCAACGCGCGTGAATCTGACACAAACTGTATCGATAACAAAAAAATGTATAAAAAACATTAAACTGAAAAGAATGGCCAAAGTCATTTTGCAAATAACTACATAAACTTTAGAGATATTAACCCTTCGTATACATACTGGGTGGTTACCACCAATAACTAAAATTCAGCGCTCTGTACTTTTAAGTACTGTAATAAATAGAACTAGTGTCGCCATCTAATTGTAGTTTGGAGTCTTAGCTATGTTTTGATTCCACTCTGCTAGGAAAATAAGTTAGTTAGCTTCTGATAGCCATTTGAAATAAAAATAATGAAACTTTGATATTCAAAATAAATATATAGGATCCGCCATTTAAATCCGGATAAATTTGAATTTGACATTTCCGCTAAATTAGAATGCAGTAGTAGATGCCAGATGGCGTAAAGGTAGGCCAGAAACGTGGGTAATAACCTCGTTAAAACGTTAATAACCTCGAAATGGCCGAGTCGTTCAAGTCGACATCGAAATATAAACGAAGAGCAGTGGATATTGAAGATGTCCGTGCCGGAAGGACGCCAAGCGAAATAATGAAGTTCTTCGAATATCCCAGGTCGACGGTGTATGGTATTGTCCAGAGGTACACGGCCTCGGAGGAGTCCTGTACTCCGGCGAGGAAAACATACGTAAGGGGAAAGGCGACATGGACTCCGGAACTCGTTCGAAAAGAACAAGACCTCATTTCGAAAAACTCATGGACTTCACTCGCAAAATTGCGAGTCGTCTGTTAGCGGCCGTCTTGGGAGTGAGCGACACCACCGTTCGTCGGATCGTTTAAGAGAATCTCAGATATAAGTCCTACGTTCTCAAGGTCCGATAGATGCTTTCCGAGGCCGCCAAGGCCAAGAGACTTGCTCGCTGCAATTTGCTCGTGTGTTCACTGAAGCACACAGCTGCTGGCCGCATCAGGTTTTTCTCTGACGAGAAGATCTTCACTGTGGATGCCAAGGTGAACCGGAGGAAGGACCATTGGCTCGCACACGACCCCGAGAACGTCCTCGTGGTGGCCAAGACCAAGTTTCCGGCCAGTGGACCAGTGTCCACGTCCTAAGCGTCGTTACGAGTGAGGGCGACGTCATGCCACCGCATTTCTTCAAGAAGAGGGAAATGGTCACGAAGAAGATTTATGTGGAGATCCTGAGGACTACAGTGAAGCCTTGAATGGAGGGCGTGGCTATAGGAAGGCCGTATATCTTCCAACAAGACGGCGCACCTGCTAATATGAGTCACTTAGTGCGGAACAGGCACTCGGACAATGTCGAGATTTTTTGGTCGAAGAATTTCTGGCCTCCGAATAGTCCTGACCTGAACGCTTTCGACTACTACGAGTGGGTTACTAACAAAGCCAAACGTCCCAACATGGCCTCCTTCCAGGCCGCTATTGAAGCGGCATTCACGAAAATAGATTGGGTGCAATTGCACACGGCGTGCTCGCACTTTCGGGACAGAATCGAGGCGGTGATCGAGAGGCAGGACAGATACATGGAGTGAGAAAACTTAGAAAAGATCCCTTAATTTAACTATAAAATAATCTCTTTGTACTTTTACATATTTTCTGTAATAAACGACTTTTTCGAGGAAAAATTGTCATGTCCGGGTTTAAATGACGGACCCTGTACTTTTTCCAGAGATGACTTACGAAACAATTTTTTCCTTAAAGATAAAAATTTTAAGAGAAAGAAAATAAGAACTCAATAACAATAATATCAATTAAATAATAGGAAAAAGGGCTAATTCGAGTTCAAGCACAGAATTAATAGTGCTATGTACCATATGGGTAAAACCTTCCTTGTGTTAGGAAATAGAGCAATATTTATTGAACATGAATACTCAATATAAATAATCAAACGTTTCAGCTCAATCATGAACCCTCTTCAGTGATATAAAAAAACTCAAGATTTACAAAACGAACGCATTACAAGTAAAAGAATTAATTAAAGACCTTAATAAAATGACATGAATGTTATTCGCAGTATTATAGCTGACAAGACCATTACCCGACTAATATTAAGAAGTTCAAATTAATACTAGGAAGTAGCCGTCATAACTATAAAAAAACCATAAAATAAAATAAAAATAGGTAAGATTAAAATATAATAAATAATTAAAACGGTCAATATAAATTACCTTTGTTGAGCTCGGCTAAAAGTGAAACGATCCTGTCAACGATAACATCGCCACGTCTAATTAAAAGAGATAATAACAGATTTATATACACGTGCATTAACATTGCGGCGACGACTCTTGGAAGAGAAGGAAACAAAGTTTTATTTTCATAATAAGCCGCAGTAGTTGTTGCCCAAATATTCTGTCCTTTTGAGAGTTAAGTCCATGCTTTTGAAATTTAATGTAAATCATTTCTGATATCAGGCGTTTCAAGTAATAACGTTCCTCATGCAAAACTTTGGCTTGTTCCCAATTGAAATCATGGTTTTTTCTCAAATGGTGTTCTTGTATGGCCGTTAACTCAACTGTAGAACTCCTTGGTACATAGCACTATTAATCCTGTGCTTGAACTCGAATTAGCCATTTTTCCTATTATTTAATAAACATTTCAACAATAAAATGCTAAATTTTTATTAAAAAATAATAAAAATTACAAGTTACAAATTTTTTGCAAAACTCACTTTTTTTAAAATTGCAAAATATGATAATTTTTTTTAATATGAAATTTCTTAAATTTTAATATTAAAAGTATATAAATTTCTATAAACATTAAAGTTAATCCATAAATTTTTTCAGAATTTTAGCATAAATATTTTAAAAGATACAGCTGTTTGAAAATTGGGTGGCAACCATCCAGTGTGTATGCGAAGGTTGAAGAAATAAGTGTGTATATGAAGGGTTAAATAAAATAGATATGCGAATCAACGCGCGCATTTGCTAGGTACGTTATAATATACTGTGAACACTATAAGTAGACATTATATAAACATAAATTGTAAGAATATTGTTGGAATCACTGCTCGATCGTCAGGTTAAGCAACACTTTAACCTGACATGGATGGTGTCCGGCATAGTGCTTTGGATTCGAAATTATCCAGGGAGGATTCGCGAAAGTTTTGGAGTGTATTTGACAATCTTTGGTTCCTAGCAGTTATGAGACATGAGAAAATTACCCAGTAAGTAAGAAATCATTAATATAACGTTGCTACAATGATATTAAAGCACCTGTGATATTGTCAAATATATAGTGTTTAATATTGTATTAAATATCATTATAAACATATCTTGATCGCAATTTGGAAGTTTCAATAATATCGAAATAGGGTTGCTAGTCAGATTTTCCTAAATAATAAATTGGCATACGATTTCTCGCTTCTGACGTCATTAAATAAGGACCACCAAAGTAAATAACAAAGAGCGTTAAATATATAATAAACCCTATGATGGAAATTACATAGAATCTCAATTCGCGTTATTTTCGGTACAGTTTAGGCTTACCATAATAAAGCCGGGTCAAATTTACAATTTAAGCGCTGATTATTACATTTCCGCCTAGAGCCTACCTGGATTGTCTGGCTAGAACTCTGACAGAAGTAAGGAAAATCTGACTAGAAACTATGTTTTAATCGGCAGAAATATTTTTAAGATGTTGCATTGATCTCAAATAAATGTTAAAGTAACATTTGAAAAATATATTTTTTGTAATGATTTAAAATGTTTAAACAACATTCAAAAAAATCATATCACAAAATAACATATGAAAAATATAAATGCAATATTGTTAAAAAATGCTCAAACAATGCACATGAAGTCAACGTTTCTAAACGTTAATTTAATGTTCCTTGCTTATTGGGTAGGAATTAGTTTTTTTTTTATGAAAGCTACGCGGAAAACTTTTAAGTGGACATTTTTACATTATATCAAGATTTGTGCAACGTTGATTCAATGTTTCTCAATGTTACTGCAATATCGACATTGTTGCAATTCAATATTTTTTCAACATTTATTCAATATAACTGTGCTGTATGGCCAAGTATCATTTTATACATAAAATATTTTATTTCCACATAAATTAACATACGATTTCTCGCTTCTGACGTCATTAAACAAGGACCGCCAAAGTAAATAACAAAGAGCGTTAAATATATAATAAACCCTATGATGGAAATTACATAGAATCTCAATTCGCGTTATTTTCGGTAGAGTTTAGGCTTACCATAATAAAGCCTGGTCAAATTTACAATTTAAGCGCTGATTGTTACATTTCCGCCTAGAGTCTACCTGGATTGTCTGGCTAGAACTCTGACAGAAGTAAGGAAAATCTGACTAGATCCATTTTAAGCCCCGGAATTTTCAATTTCTACCCGGGATGTCGCGATTATATAAAAACCATATTTTACTCTTTTATCGATATAAGAAATACTTCAATAACTTTATTCTAAATATTGCAATATCAAGTAAAATATCAAGACAATGTCGATGGAATAAAGTGGAATACACAGTTTTGATACAACATAATTATATCTGAAATGTTAAATACACGTAAAGAATATCATAAATCATAAATTAGTTTTGCTTACACGTGTTTCAATCAGTAATTTTCGCAATTATCATAATAAAAAATTTTTTGTCTTAAAGGAGGAAATACTTTTTGCACATGAAAAATCAATTTTTTCATTGTATATTTTAAAAGCTTATACTTTTAAATGGATGTCCCTAAATTCTACTGCAAAAATTCTAAAAGTTGGCGAAGTTATAGTCGATTACTTGAGACAGAGTATGGGTTGGAAACGGAACGTTCGATGTACGTCCTAGGTAGCAGATAGCCGTGATAATAACGTGAATTTTACGTCATCTATTATGTCATTTATCCTTCAAATTAACCAAATAATGACGTCTTTTTGACGGTTATAAGTCACAGATTAATGACATCATATGTATGACGACTTAATGACATCATTCTTTTACATAAAATGACGTATAACACTGGTTAAAAAAATATATTTTGCAGAAACGATTGCAACTAGTCAGCTATAAAATCAACTATGTTAATTTTAAACATAATTTAGCTGTTTTATTTGATTTCTCACTATTTTCGCACCTGAAAATTCACTCACAAGGAGAATACCCCAACTGCCAACCGAATTTTTTAATGAGCTTTGGTGTGGTGGTAGATTAGGAAAATATAAGATTACGCCTCCAATATTAGCCGTAGATACGCAGCCGTTTTCGAGAATGTGAGGGTTGAAATTAGGCGAGCACGTTATCTACCTTAAATTTAAAGGTTCAATTGTAACATTTCGTTAGCCGCGCAACGAACACACTGAACTCACAGTCCAAAGATCATGCGTTCGAGCCTCGGCACTGTCCTTTTTTTATTTAAATTACTTTTTATTCTAAACGTCAATTATTTTACTTATTAATAATTAATTATTAGCATTGTTTATTACCTAAAATAAAAGAAATAATTAAATTCGTTTAAAAATATATTAAAAATTTAGGAAACTATTTCGAGAAATAATTCATGTTTACAAATAAAATTTCAAACATTTTATATTGTGACTTCGATTATAATATTGTAAAATCATATATTATATTAAATTGTTTTACAATTAGTAAATTACTACAAACATTATGCTCGCAATAACACAATTTATTACATTTCTTATTTTTTATTACAAGTACTTGGATGGTATTCATCATAAAAACAATTAAAGCATAAGAATGTGCGGCAATGAGAGCATTGAATAAATGCTGATTCAAAATCTTCGCAATCTTCACATCTTTTGTTCTTTAATTCCTCAGGGAATGCAACAGCGTTGACGTTGGAGAAAAACTCTTTCTTCGTCGTAAGCTTAGCAGCATACCAAGCATACCTATAGTAATATAAAAATATAATTGTAGTTTAAATATTTCATTTCTTTAAATTTTTATTACAGGAAAAAATTATTCATTGTCAAAGATTGTTTATTTACCTTAACATTTTTTCATACAGTGGAGCCTGCAATTGATGGTGTATAAGCGAATGGATTTTTATCATATCCTCTCGAGACGTGATCTCCTTAT